AGGCCCAGAGTTCAGGCCCCACGACAGGACCCAAAAAAAAAAAAAAAAGAAAGAAAAGGAAAGAAAAAGAGTTTCACGGACTTTCCCACCCAGGATGGCTTTGAACCATGATCTTCAGATCTCAGCCTCTGAGTAGCTAGGATTACAGGCGTGAGCCACCGGCGCCCGGCTGTGACCTTTTTTTCTTTTTTCTTTTTTTTTGGTCTGGTCGTGGGGCCTGAACTCTGGGCCTGGGTGCTGTCCCTCAGCTCTTCAGCTCAAGGCTAGTGCTCTATCACTTGCACCACAGTGCCACTTCCGGCTTTTTTTCTTTATGCTTATGTGGTGCTGAGGAATTGAACCCAGGGCCTCATGCATGCAAGGCAAGCACTCTACCAATAAGCCACGTTCCCAGCCCCCCCCCCTTTTTTCTTTTTTCTTTTCTTTTCTTTGAATCTCCAATGAACCACCAAAAAGCCAGAAGTAGAACTGTGGCTCAAATGGTAGAGCACCAGCCTTGAGCAAAAAAGCTAATGGACATTACCCTAGTATGGAAAAAAAATTCATTCTTCTTTCATCTCTTTTCCTATGTTAGCCTTTGTCCTCAAAAGCTTCGATTTCTTTTGTGTATCAGTGAGGGGGAAAGGAGGAACTGTGCAAAGTGAAAAAATAAAAATGGAGGTGTAGGAGGGGCAGACAGCTGCAAGGCTCAGAGCTGGAGTCACTCAGCAAACCTTAACCCAACAGCTCTGAGCTCGGATTTCTTCTGTGGACAGCTGGCTTTTTTCGTTTCTGAAATACTCTGCAAAGATGGAAGAGGGTCTCAGAATTGCTCTGCTGTGAGTCATTATTTTTATTTTGTGCAGGTATCAAAGCTTGAACTCAGGCCTTCCTTGGGTTTGTCCCTTAGCTTTGTCACTAAAGGCTGGCTCTCTACCACTTGAACCATAGCTCTACTTCTTTTCTGCAGGCTCACTGGAGATGAGAGTCTCACAGCCTCTCCTGCCCCGCCCGTCTGGCTTTGAACCTCCATGCTCACATCTCAGCCTCCAGAGTTGGCATGATTACAGGTGTGAGCCACCAACACGCAGTATTGCTGTGCTACTTCGCTTATACCATGTGTAGAAATGAAATGGGATATTCCATGTAGCAGGATTGAGGGAGGTAATGATAGCTACCCCGTGGCTTGCTGTGATTTTTAAAGGCCACGAACTCCTCATAGAGAAAACCCGCAGGCTGACTCCAGAGACATAGAAGCCAGGATTGGAGATGGGCCTTGCCTGTCACAGACCAGTCTCTCCTCCCTCAGCTTGGCACCCAATACCCCATATTCTGTTTAATCTTCCTTCCCTCCCTTTACCCCCCCCCCATCCTACTGCCACCGATGTCCCTGGAATTTTGGACTTCGCTATTTTTAAAACCGTCAACTCAGTAGCCGTGTCCCTCCCTCCCCCCCTCAGCTGTCCAGTGCTCTGGCCAGCCCTGTGCCCTCCCTTCCTCCCACCCCCAATCTACTCTGGCTGTCTACCCTCAGTGAGATTTTCGCAGGTCTGGGGACCTGCTGGGGACATGGAGATGGGGACAAGGTGCCCCTGGCTGGGACAGATGGACGCGATCCACAACCATGCCTGTAGAACTGGATATCCAAGGAATGGCTGACCTTTGCAAACAGTAAGTGGAAAGGCAATTGCAATTGTTGAATAAGGTCATGAGTGGAGCTAGACTTCTACAAAATTTACAGATGCGGAACTTGGGTGTCTGTTCCAAACATTAGGATCCCTCCCTAGGAAGACACCAAAATCTCCATGTCTCTTTTCTGTGTGGTCGCTGATCTCTAGCTGTTTGCTGCTTAATGTGCTCCAGCATTTTTAGCCTTCTTACCTTCCTGTTTCCCTTATCAGGTCAATATATATATTTTAAATTTTGTGCCAGCTCTGAGGCTTGAACTCAGGGTCTGGGTGCTGTCTCTGAACTGTTTTGCTCAAGGCTGGCACTGTACCACTTGAGCCACAACTCCACTTCTGGCTTTTTTTTTCTTCTTTAATTGGACATAAAGAGTCTCCCAAACTTTGCTGCTTAGGGCTGGCTTTGAACACCGATCTTCAGATCTCAGCCTTGTGAGTAGCTAGGATTACAGGTGTGAGCCACAGGTGCCCAAGCCTCCACGGAGACATTGCTGTTCTAGAAGGCATAGGAATTCTAGTCCATTCCTTCTTGTGTTCTTCTGAGGCAAAGGAGGCGAGGAACGAACCCCTCCTGCGAGGGACGGCTGGCGGTGAGGAGGGAAGAATAAGGGGCTTGTGTCTGAAAGATTCCTAGGGGTCTTTGCTCTGTTGGGGAGCTGCTGGGAGGCCTGGGATCCGGTCTAGCTGCAGAACGCCTCCGTTTTTGACAACTCGCTGTTTGCTATGGAGGATGGGGCAACCCCGCAGACTCTGCCCTCTCCAAGTTCATCGACCCTCCCCTCCGCCCCCACGCCGCCCCACGCCGGCCTTGCACAGGGGACCCGAGCCAGAGGTCTAACCAGCCGTCCCGTGGAGGTCGGGGCGCCCCCGGCTCCCCCTTGTCGTGATTGCCCTGGATTCTCCGTGCACCACCCTGACCAGCCTTCCACTCTCCGCTTCTCCCCGTGCCCAGCCAGATCTCTTTTCTCCGTCACAGGTCAGCAGGTCTAAGCCCGCTGGGTAGAGAGAGTCAGCTGGGAAGCACCGCTGCCCGGGGTGGGGAGGGGGACCTGGCTGGACAGGTATGGGGGACCCAAGCCAGCCCCCTCACCCTCGGCCCCTCCACGGCAGCCCCCCGACTCTGAGCACTGTCACCCTCCTGCTCCTCCTCTGTGGACACGGTGAGACCAGCCGGGGTCCCGGGGCGTCTGAGCATGCGCGTGAGGGGAAGGGAAGGACGGGGAGGGGAGGGTCGCCGAGGGCTGATCTCGACTTTATTTCTCATGCCAACGTGGGGGGCACCGGAGGGGGAGGCCCTGGTTGGTGAGGAGAAGAGATCTAACAGATGGGCTTTTTTTTTTTTATTTCTTTGGTGCCGCGACTGGGACTTGAACTCAGGTCCCTCCGCTTTCTCCATTCAAGGCTGGCATTCCACCACTTGGCCCATGCCTGCCTCCGCGGCTGGCTTTTTTGCTAGTCAATGGAGACAAGGTTGCATGTCTTTATCTTGCCGGCGCTGGCTCTGCCTCGCCGTCTTCAGCCCCGAGCAGCTAGGATGGCAGGCGTGAGCTTGCACACTTGTTTTTAACGCGGGAGGTGAGGGTTGGGGCCTGGGAATAGGCCTTCTGGTCGGGCTGCACGGTCGGCGGCGCGGGGGCGGGGAGGTCTGGGGAGGGTGGGGGGACGCACCCCCACACAGACCCCAGCCCTCTCCTCGTCGGTCCTCAGCCCACTCGCAGTGCAAGATTCTCCGCTGCAACGCCGAGTACGTGTCGTCCACGCTGAGCCTCCGAGGCGCGGGCTCGCCGGGCGGGCTGCGGGGCGGCGGCCTGTGCCGCGCGCTCCGCTCCTACGAGCTGTGCACTCGGCGTACGGCGCGCACCGACCTGGCCTTCCACTCGGCGGTGCATGGCATCGAGGACCTCATGATCCAGCACAACTGCTCCCGCCGCGGCCCCACCGCGCCGCCCCCGCCGCCGCGCAGCGCGCCGCCGGGATCCCCAGCCCCGGACCCCTGCGACTACGAGGCCCGCTTCTTGCGGATGCACGGGCGGCGCCCCGGCTTCCTGCACTGCGCCTCCTTTGGGGACCCGCACGTGCGCAGCTTCCACCACCACTTCCACACCTGCCGCGTGCAGGGCGCCTGGCCGCTCCTCGACAACAACTTCCTCTTCGTGCAGGCCACCAGCGCCCCCGTGGCGTCGGGGGCCAAGGCCACGGCCACCCGCAAGGTCAGGGGCCCGATCGAGCTCCCTCCCCACCCAGCTAGCTCCACTGTGCACGTGTATGTGCACGTGTGTGTGCGTGCGTGGGCGTTTGAGTGTACATGTGTGCACGCGCACGTAAGCATGTACGTGCGTGTGCACGTGGGTTTGTGTGCGTGCACGTGCGTGTGCATGCACATGTGTGCGATGTGCCTGAGTGGATGTGCATGTGCGTGCATGCGTGCGCCTGTGTGCGTGGGTGTGTGTGCATGTGCACTGTGTGTATGCGGGCGCGCATGCGTGTGTGCATGTGTTTGTGTGTGCGCGTGCGCGCTGGTACTGGGGCTCAAACTCGGCCTGGGCGCTGTCCCTGAGCTTTTTCCATTCAAAACTGGCGCTCTACCACCTGGGCCACACTGCCACTTGTTTGTTGGTTCATTGGACTTAAAGAGTCTCGGGAGCCCGGTGCTGGTGGCTTCAGCCTGTCATCCTAGCATCTCAGGAGGCTGAGATCTGAGAATCATGGTTCAAAGCCAGCCCGGCAGGAAAGTCGGTGAGACTCCTATCTCCAGTAAACCACCAGAAAAACAAAACACAAAAAACAGAAGTGGCGCGGTGGCTCAAGTGGTAGAGCCTTGAGCTGAAGAGCCGAGGGACAGCGCCCAGGCCCAGAGATCAACCCCACGTCAGACAAAAAAAAAAAAAAAAAAAAGTCCTGCGGACTTTACTGCCGAGGCTGGCTTGAACCGTGGTCCTCAGATCTCAGCCTCCTGAGTAGCTAGGATTACAGGCGTGAGCCACCAACCCCCTGGGTTTGCAGGGCTGCCTTCCACCCCAAGTGACCCCCACTTCTCCCTGTGGCGACCTCGCAGCTCACCATCATCTTTAAGAACATGCAGGAGTGCATCGATCAGAAGGTGTACCGGGCCGAGGTGGACAACCTGCCCGCGGCCTTCGAGGACGGCTCGGTCAACGGCGGCTACCGGCCGGGGGGCTCGAGTCTGTCCATTCAGACGGCTAACCCCGGGAACCACGTGGAGATCCGGGCTGCTTACATCGGCACGACCATCGTTGTCCGGCAGACGGCCGGCCAGTTGTCGTTCTCCATCCGGGTGGCGGAGGACGTGGCCCGGGCCTTCTCGGCCGAGCAGGACCTGCAGCTGTGCGTGGCCGGGTGCCCACCCAGCCAGCGCCTCTCGCGCTCCGAGCGCAACCGTCGGGGTGCCATCCCCGTCGACGCGGCCCGACGACTGTGCAAACAGGGGCTCCCCGTGGAAGATGCCTATTTCCAGTCCTGTGTTTTCGATGTGTTCATTTCCGGTGACCCCAATTTCACCATGCCAGCCCGGACAGCCTTAGAGGACGCGCGGGCCTTCTTGCCCGATCTGGAGAAGTTACACCTCTTCCCCTCGGATGCGGGGGTTCCTCGCTCCCCTGCCAACCCCCTATGTCCACTTCTTGCAGGGCTCTTTTTCCTGTGGCTTTGCATTCACTAAGTAGCCAGCCAGGCCAGGACTAGCTTGGAAACCATTCTGGGAGGGCATGGAACACAAGAATTGCCAAGAACACAGCAGAGACCTGGAGATCCACGAACCAACCAATGAGCACTGAGCCTCGGTGGGCTCCAACCCCCGCCTGCATGCTGATAACAGAATGAGAATTCTGGACGAGGTTTTGCATTCCAGACCCCTGTAGGGGCTCATTGCCCCTTTGGACACATACAAAAAAGTGGGGGTGTGGCCCCTTTCCAGTCCCATTTATGGTGAGAAGATTGTGTCAATCCATGTATTTTAAAACTTGGAATATTTTTTCGTGTGTGCTGGTACTGGGGCTTGCACTCAGGGCCTTACATGCTCTACTTTTTTGTTCAAAGCTGGTGCTCTACCACACGAGCCACCCCTCAAATTCTGGCTTTTGGCTGGTTCTTTGGACATAAGAGCCTTACAGACTCTTCTGCCTGAGCTAGTTTAGAACCACAATCTCAGCCTTCTGAGTAACTAGTGTTACAGGTATTAACCAGCAGTGCCCAGCAAGGGTGAGATTTCTTTTTTTTTTTTCCGGCCATGAGACTTGAACTCTGGGCCTGTGCACTGTCCCTCAGCCCTTAAGCTCAAAGGTTAACACTCTACCACTTGAGCCACAGCATCACTTCCGGTTTTCAGGTGGTTCATTGGAGATAAGAGTCTCACAGATTTTCCTGTCCAGGCTGGCTTTGAACCACAATCCTCAGATCTCAGCCTCCTGAGTAGCTAGGATTACAGGTGTGAGCCACTGGCACCTGGCTCGGTAAGACTTTTTAAGAGTCAACAACTAAGAGAGGATAACACAAACCTTATTCAAAAGCATCTCAGGAGAGGACAAAATAATCAGGGAAAGAATTCTATTGGGTGAGGCCTGAGCGTATGTCTAGCACCTGGTTAGCAAACACAAGACCATCAGATCAGGTCCCAGAACCACCAAAAAAGGAAAAGAAAAAAAATCTATTTGATGAATATACAATGGGAGGTGAGTTCTGCTTTCTTTGTTCAGATGTGAAATGCACACTGTGCGGATGTTAGGTGAAGGACACTGGCTTTTGGAGAAATGCACACAGAAAGGACAGAAGCTAGCATGCCAGCCCCTAACTCATCTGTTATTAAAGCTAGGAGCCTCCATGTGTCCTCTGTTGCTGGTTCTTTTTTTTTTTTGTCGGTCGTGGGGCTTGAACTCTGGGCCTGAGCGCTGTCCCTCAGCTCTTCAGCTCAAGGCGAGTGCTCCACCACTTGAGCTACAGCGCCTCTTCCGGTTTTCTGGTGGTTTATTGGAGATAGGAGTCTCATGGTCTCTCCTGCCCAGGCTGGCTTTGAACTGCGATCCTCAGATCTCAGCCTCCTGAGTAGCTAGTATTACAGGCGTGAACCACCAGCGCCCGGCTGTTGCTGGTTCTTTACAGATGCAGGAAATGGAGTAAGGTGATGTGTTTGCTGAACGCACAGGGGCTCTGAAGCTGTCCTTTCTTTTTCTGCCTGCTATGAGAGATAAAACTGACTCATGTGGAGGAATCATGAGTGTGTAATTCTTCACTAAACCAACCTTCCTTCCTTCCTTCCCTCCTTTCCTTCTTTCTTTCTTTCTTTCTTTCTTTCTTTCTTTCTTTCTTTCTTTCTTTCTTTCTTTCTTTCTTTCTTTCTTTCTTTCTTTCTTGTGCTGGAACAGAGGCTTGGACTCAGGGCCTACGTACTTTCCTTAAGATTTTCCCTTCAAGGCAGATGCTATTGCATTTGGGCCACACCTCCATTCCAGCTTTTGGGTGGTTAATTGGAGATGAGAGGTTCACAGACTTGTCAGCCCAGACTGGCTTTGAATTGTGACCCTTAGTTATCAGCCTTCTGAGTAGCAAAGATTTACAGACATGAGCCACTGGCATCGGGTTGTTTAGATTTTTTTTTTTCTGGTTTGAATTTAGGATCTTGTGCTGTTCCTGAGCTTCTTTTGCTCAAGGCTAGCCTCTACCACTTGAGCCACATCACCATTTCTGGCTTTTTCTGAGTAGTTTACTGGAGATAAGAGTCTCACAGACTTTCCTGCTTGTGCCAGCTTCCAACCGAGATCCTCAGCTCTCAGCCTTCTGAGTAGCTAGGATTATAGGAACGAGCCACTAGTGCTCTGAACTTCTTTTGCTCAAGAGCTAGCACTCTGCCACTTGAGCCACATTTCCACTTTTGGCTTTTTCTGTGTATGTGGTACTGAGGAATGGCTTCATGCATGCTAGGCAAGCCACCTTCCCAGCCTCAGAATTTTTTTTTTCCATGAAGTTAAATGTACTAGTACTTGGTGACGCTGAGTTACATGTCATACTTTGCCATGTAAGAGTGTAAAATTGCATTGGGGTCAGCACAGGCAAAGCAGCAGCTCAAGACCGAGCCTGAGAATCAACTTAAGAGCAATGAGACTCCACAGGCAGAGGGCTAAGCACAGGCGGGACGCTTGCCCGCATGCACGAGGCCCCAGCACTGCAAAATACAAAATAAATGAACAAAAAATGCTAAAGAAGGCAGTCTCCCCCTTCTCCCCCCTTCTTCCCCCCTCTTCCTCCTTCCCCCTCCCTTACTCTCCAGGGTTTTGCTATGTAGGCTGAGGGAGCTTGTATTCTCCACCCTCCGGGTAAGCTTCCTAGGTGCTGGAATTACAGATATGTGCCACTATACCTAGCCCTTTATCTCTATTTTTATATAAAGAAACAATTACAGAAGGATTAAACAATTCTAATAAGTGAGAGAGTCAGAAATGTAACCTAAGCAGTTTGTAGTGGTATTACCAGATATTATCAAGGAAACGAAGCTATTTAAATATTTTGAACTTAGACATGTTGGTATACACCTATAAGCCCAGCAGGATGTGAATTCCAAGCCAGCCTGGGCTAGATAGAAAAACCTTCTCTGCCTCTGTCTGTCTCTCTCTTTCTTACACACACACACATATACTTCTTGTTCTTGTATGGGGGCTTGAACTAGGATATCAGACTCTTTTTTGCTTTTTCTTACTCAAGGCTAGTGCTCTACCACTTGAGCCATATCTACTTCAGGCTTTTTACTGGTTAATTGGAGATAGTCAATAGATAGTCACTGGACTTTCCTGCCTGGGCTGGCTTTGAACTGTGATCCTCATATCTCAGCCTCCTGAGTAGCCTGGGGGGGGGGCTGATCCTGGCAAGCCAGGTACTCTGGCTCTCCATCTCAGCCACATCAACCATGGGCTCCTCTTCTAGGCAGACTAGTGGCGTACAGGCTGCTCAGAGATCCAGTTCTCCCGGGTAGAGGCATTTTTGTAGGCCCAGGGCAGTGGTGTTGCCTCCTCCAGGATGACCCCCAGGCTAGCTCCAGGTTCAGGTCAACTCTGCCAGCTTGGAGCAGGGCCCTGAGGACACCTCCAAATGCTAGATTTTTTTTTTAAGGGGGAGAGGGTGGTGGTTTTTTTTTTTTTTTTTTTTTTTAATTTGGTGCCTATCCTAGGGCTTGAACTCTGAGTGACTGGTGCTTATTTTATAGACTTGCTAGCATTTCATAATACAGTATAAAATAATGGCAGTTTTATGAAAAGAGTATCTTACAGTTTAAAAACAACCCTGCTGGGTGCCAGTGGCTCAGGCCTGTAATCCTAGCTACTCCGGAGGCTGAGATCCAAGGATCTCGGATTGAAACCAGCCCAGACAGAAAAATCCCTGTGAGTCTCCTTATCTTCAATAAACCACTCAAAAGCCAGAAGTGATGCTGTGGCTCCAAGTGGTAGAACACTAACTAGCCTTGAGCAAAAGAACTCAAGGACAGGGCCCAGACCCTAAATTCAAGCCCCAGGACTGACAGAAAAAAACAAAACCAACAAAAACCACCCTGTGACCCCTAATTCTGATCACCCACTTCATCAAAGCCAGCAGGTGGCGCTGGTGACTAAAAAGTGACTCAGGAGATGAGCCCAACCCTTGGGAGATTCTCTGGCTTGTTGGCCATTTGAGAAAAAAATATTGAGTGTTTGGCAGAACTGGCATTTCAGAAATAAGATAGATTCATGATAAGCCAAAAAAATTTTTTTGGTCATGGGGCTTAAATTAAGGACTTGGGCACTTTCCCTGAGTTCTTTTGCTCAAGGCTAACGCTCAAGGCCAGCTCTCTACCGCTTGAGCCACAGTGCCACTTCCCGTTTTCTGAGTGGTTTATTGGAGATGAGAGTCTCAAGGACTTTCTTGCCAGTGGGTGGCTTTGAACCGCAATCCTCAGATCTTTGCCTCCCGAGTAGCTAGAATCACAGGCATGAGACACCGGTGCCTGGCTTACTTCCATTCCAGTCTTTTAGTGGTTAATTGGAGATAGAGTTTCACAAATTTTCCTACCCAGGCTGGCTTTGAACCAGGATCCTCAGATCTCAGTCTCTTAAATAGCTAGGATTACACCTATGAGCTATGAGCACCAGCCAAGAAAAAATAAAAATTTTTTAAATAAAGAAATAAGGGGCTGGGAAGGTGGCTCAGTGGTAGAGTGCTTGCCTTGCATGCATGAGGCCCTGGGTTCGATTCCTCAGCACCACATAAGCAAAAAGAAAAAAGCCAGAAGTGGCGCTGTGGCTCAAGTAGTAGAGCGCTAGCCTTGAGCAGAAGAGCTGAGGGACAGCGCCCAGGCCCAGAGTTCAGGCCCCACGACCGGACCCAAAAAAAAAAAAAAACTTATGTGAACGGAGGGGTGGGCTTTGACAAAGTGAAACCTAAATTAGGAAGGCTACATAGATTCTGCCTCTATTCTCAGGCTACTTCAGAATTGGTTCACAAAATCAATATTTTTTTGTGTGTGTGTGTGTGTGTGTTGGTACTGATACTTGAACTTAGGGACTTGAACTCTTGCTTGGCTTTTTACTTAAGTCTGGCACCTTACCACTTAAGCCACAACTTCACCTCTGGTTTTTTTCTGCTGGTTTATTAGAGATAAGAGTGTCATGGACTTTTCTTTCCTGGGCTGGCTTCAAATGG